CTGCTTCATCAACTAAGTTTATGTAATATTCTAAATCCTTTGTTGTCATTTCAACAATGTTCACAGCATCTTCACCAGGAGTAGATTCCATCTCAAGAAACCACTTTCTTTGCTCATCCATAAGAAGCAACTCCTCATCCGTTAAAGTTTTATCATGAGATTGCAGCAATTCAGTCACATCTTCAGGCTCCACTTCTAATTCTAGTTCTCTTGCTGTTTCCACCACATCTGCAGTTACTTCCTCCACTGAAGTCTTGAACCCCTCAAAGTCATCCATGAGGGTTGGAATCAACTTCTTCCAAACTCCTGTTAATGTTGATATTTTGACCTCCTCCCATGAATCAAAGATCACAGATCACCGTAACAAATATAATAATAATGAAAAAGTTTGAAATATTGTGAGATTTACCAAAATGTGACACAGAGACACGAAGTGAGCAAATGCTGTTGGAAAAATGGCGCCAATAGACTTGCTCGATGCAGGGTTGCCACAAACCTTCAATTTGTAAAACACGCAATATCTGCGAAGCGCAGTAAAGTGAAGCGCAATAAAACGAGGTATGCCTGTACTTACTTGCATCATGATCATATGTCTAGCATCACCAAAGTTACCTTCAAGAAGAATGCCTTGCATTCAAAAGCTTGTTTAACTCTATCCCAACAGGGCAGTTAGTCCAATAAAAAATACCAACATAAGAAATCCTTGCCTCTTGTATAGTATTACCAAACATACTCACAGAAAGTTTTTTCCCAGGCCCTGCTTCATTAAATGTGGCAGAGCAGCAGGATATCAAGGATGGAGCTTCAGTTTGTGAAACCCTCCCAGTTATAATCTTTTGTAACTATGAATAATCAGAAGGCAGGGTAGATTGTGCACAATCAGACACAAGGTAAAGGGGAGGAGATAGGAACACAGTCACCTCCTGCAAATATGACAGGTTCACCAAATAGTACAGGAGTTGAATTATAAACAGTGTAGTAGAAACAGCATATCCTTCCTACCCCAGGAAAGTTTGTATATGGTACAAAAATAATCAAGTAACTGTTAGCTGAAAGGAAACATGTCTAAAGGTTTAGCTTGGTACTCAAAATGGATTCTGATTTAACTGTACAGATACAGATGGAGTAACTTGTTATCCTTAATTCAGAGATGCATGGGACAACACACACCAGCTTGCTCCAGCTTGGCTACTGCTCTGCTTACCCTGCGGGCGCACTTGCTAGCTGCTTTATTCTCTGGGAAGAAGCTTCCTTCGAGGGAGGGAGTGTGGTATTGTGGAAACCACCGCCTCCTCTCTCTGGCTTTTCTCCTCCAGGAAGTAAACAAAGTTCTTCCCTGGGCCGGGCCGGGCCGGGCCCTCTGCTGCAGCTGACTTGCTCGTGGACTCCCGAGGAGAGTCGCAGAACCCGTGGTCCTGCTCGGAGCCCCCAGCGGCAGTCGCAAGGCAGCGGCCTCCCGCGGCGCTCAGCTCTGATTAAAAGAGGCACCGGCCGCAGTTAGTTCAGGTCTGTCCCCTCCGGGCGCGGGTCCCCATACAGCCCCCCGCGCACACCCGGCCCGGCCCGGCCCGGCCCCGCCCCACGGGGATGGCGGGTCCCGGGCGTCGGGCCCAGCATGGGGGGTGGTAGCCGGGGGGCTCCTCTGAGGGCGGGGAAGCGGCTCCGCGGCGCCACCGGAAGGTGGGGGGGAGGAGCCGTCTCGGGCCCCGGGCCTGAGGCGAGCCCGAGGAAGGGGCGGGCGCGCTTCACCCGCCCGCACAGCCTCCATCTTAAGGGCGGAAGAGCGAGGCTCTCTCTCTCGCTACTCAGGTGAGTAGGGCCTGGCCCCCCAGCCCCACTCCCGGGGCCGCTCCGCTCGGCTCGGCTCGTGCCCCCGCGCAGGGAGCGTTGTCGGCGGGACCGAGCGAAGCTGCCGCCGGGGGTCCCCGGGAGTAGCGAGCCTCCGCGGGCCCGGCCTGAGGCGCCCTCGGGCGAGGTCTTGTGTGCGCCTCTGGGGTGGGCAGTGGCGGTGCTTGGCAGGGGGCTAAGGTGAAGTTGGGGGTGTCTCTAGCTCCCTCCAGCGCCCGCCCGGAGCGCGGCCTGGCCTAGCCCCTGTCGGTGAGAGCCCGGCACTGCCCCCGGCCTCAGCCCGCAGCAGCAGCCCGTCCTCGGCCCACGCAGGTCCAGGGGTACGTGCCCCCTGTGCCCTCCCGTGCTGGCGCAGCAGCAGGAGCGCCCCCCCGGACAAGGCGCGGCTGAGTCTCACGCCAACCACCCTCCCTGACTGCAGCACCTGCCCCAGCCCCACTCTCGCTCTCGCTCTCTCTCTCGCTCTCTCTCTCTCTCTCTCTCTCTCCCCGCCGGGCCTTGATCTGCGCCCCCACGCCCCTTCCCTCCCCTTGCACCACAACAGACCTACCAGCCAGACCCGGCTGCCAGGGTCTCCTGGCCGCCTGCATCTGCGCGTGTATGGAGCATTTATTGGCAACATTATCCACCACATCGGCCAAAAAAAGCCAGTTGCCAGTACTCTCCGTTTTCCTCGTATCGGTGCCACTCTGCTATACCACTGATGTATCCGTGCACCTCTACCTGGCTCTTGCTTAAGGGTACACTTTTTTTTTTTTTTTTTTAAGGGGGGGGAGGAAACCCCTAAAGCTGGGGCTTTTTTTTTTTTTTTTGGGGGGGGGGGGGGGGGGGGGGAGGAATTTTCTCTGTTCAAAGTGGGAAATATATTTCTGAGCCCTTGGTTGTGTGTGCTGCCACGCACCAATTTATTCACCTTGTGGACTTGGAGGCCCGTGCTTTTATCCTGCTGTTTAAAAGCTCCTTTAGTTCCAGAACATAAAGGGGGAAAATGGGGTTTGTTATTCTAGAGCCTGGAAACTCCATCACCCCCTCTTGAGAAGGGCTCTCAGCAGGGAGAAGAGACAGATTTGTAAATATGTCTGCATATGATTGCAATTAAGAAACTATGGAAGAGGATCTGTGTAGACAGCTCAAAAGCTTTTAACAAACAACAAAAATCCAGAAATTGAAATTGTATTTAAAAAACCCATAAAAGTAGCTTTTTGTTGAGAGAATGTGTTTTTTAGTTATGGTAAAAAAAAAAAAAAAAACTCCTTAAAGGCATGATTCCTGCTTAGTATACCTTAGGGTATCCTTAAGCAAAGATAAGTGAGGCCATGTGCTGTGGAAAGAGTTGGCTAATGTTTAATAAGTACTTAGTACCATATTATGCAAGTGATTTTATTTCTTTTCTGGAAAACCGTCTGTGGCTAGGCTGTAAACGTAACTGCCAAGATGGTTTGGGGGTTAGTTTAAACTCCAGTTTAGTGTGCACCAGTCTCTTTGTAATACAGGCAGGGCTTTTGAAATTGTCCCTATGCGAATCACTTATAACTTTAAATCACTTCCTGCATTCTCTTAAAATCAATTTTGTATTTTATTTGAAAATGTGTGTTTGTGGCTATATGATTTGTTTGAATAGCTTATTGTAATAATGTAATAAGAACCCCAAATAAAGATTAGGTTCTTACTGGCATTAATCTTATTAAACCAAATTACACAGTTGGAGTCCCTGCTTCTGAAGCCCTGCAGTTGGTGATTGGGGCTACCTACAAAAAGCAAATAAACAGAGAAATAAGAGCAGGAGGGAAGAGGTGGTAAATGAGATAACAGTGAAGACTGTTAGTACAAGACCTGAATTGGTGGTTAACTTACTGATCAAAGACACTAGACAATTTGTTTGTTTTCGTTGAAAATGAGAAATATTGAAACCTTCCCTCACATCTTGATATAGGTAACATTCTTTATGTAAAGATATGTTTCACACATCTTGGCTTTTAATAATACAATTTGTTATAATTTTCCATGTCTAAAATCCCACTTCTTTAAGGTCATCTTAAATTCATCCCTCCCATAACTGCTGTGGAAGGGGATGAGGGGCCAGACCCATGCCCCTTACTTCCTTTGGACCTTTTCCCCTCCGTGCCTGCCCCAAGGGGTTGGGGGGAAGGCTGCAGGTATCCCATTTGGCCCCCCTCCCCCCAACACTGCAATCTCTCCTGTAGTCCCTCAGGCTATGTGATCCCACCCCCACCAAAGGAGTCATTCTGGGCCCAAAGCCAGATCTAAGCCACTACCTGCCCCAGGCTGGCACTCAAATCTAAGATGCTCACTCCCCCTGATGATTAGTGGGGTAAAACCTCCTCTTGGATTCAGATAAATGCAATATATTTATTTGGGATTAATTTATAATCAAATTTACACACCCCTGCTAACTCTGCAGCTGCTTAGCACAGGTAGATTACTAAACTGTGGTATGATTTCTACCATCTTACCATAAAACATCTGCAGTTTAAACTTCATTGTTCCAAAAATGACTTATCAGAGAGAGACTGATTAAATGTAATCCTGTATTATTTTGTTGCAGTACCTGAGTTTGAAATGACACATGCTGACTCTGTTCGCATTTCAATATTAATTCTGAACAAGTTAATTTTGTAAACCCCTGCCACTTCCTATATCTTTTGTGGCCAAAGAGGAAAGATCACTGTTAAACATTAAATTCTGGTAGACTCTGATACATATGTGGGAGTGCTGCACAATTATTAACCATAACTGCATTTTCTTTCGTTTAAGCAATTCCTTCCACTCTGGGTAAATAGATGAGATTGCGCTCCTCTTACTTGGTAGTAGGTAATCCCCAGTCTTGTTAAAGGTTGTTATTTAGCCAGTCAGGCCACTGACAGACATGGAAAAACAAAACAAAACCAATTTACCAGAAGAGGAAATGCATCAGTTTGATTTGGTTCCACAGCATCTGTATAGGGCAGGTGCTTCAGTGGGGCTTTTGGTGCTTTTATCTAAAGCTGATTCAATTAGCTATTAGATAAAAATGCCAAGAAGTTCCACTTAAGCGCATGATCTATACAGACATTGGGTGAGCTGGGTCAAACTAACGCGATGCCTTTTCTGGGCATGTGCTGCAGTTGGTGCAGGCATGCGAAGCTGAAAGTAAAGCGCTGGTTGTTTTTGGTTTTTTGTTTGGTTTTTGTTCCACCAACTCTGGCCCTGCTGGGGTACGGCAGGGACAACACTGCCATGACAGCAGGGACTGAGGGGCTGGAGCGGGGGCGGTGAGGCAGTGCTGGCCTTGCCTCTCTGCCCCCCCCCCCACTCCCCAGGAGCCCTGCTCCTTGGAGGCAGAGGGGGATGGTGCCACTATGACAGCAGGGACTGAGGGGTGGGGGGACAAGGCCAGTACCCCTCCCACTCCAGCCCCTCAATCCTTGCTGTCATGGCGGCACTTCTGTCTACGCAGAGCACTCTGGACTGGTTGTTTCAGTAAGTATTGTTATTGGCTGCCAAGACAACCAATCGGAGTGCAAGTAAAGTGTTATGGACAGACAGACAGACAAAGGCTTTTATACTATTAGAATTACTTCAGCAGAGTTCTGGAAAGTATAAGGGTTTGAAAGTTATTTTAAGAAGTGGAGTAGGCTGAGTTAGGATTAATGAACTCAGATAGGACCATACATGAGATGTACTAAACAGATGTACTGTTTTGCTGGCATGATTAGGAAACTGGGTTGGAATATTTAAAAAAAAATTATATTCAGTTACTTGTATTTAAGGAGAAACCAGGCCCTTGCATTCTTGTTATGGAGTCTTTCCTGTTCTGCTCTCTGCAGCACTAAAGATTATATTCTTTCTTACAGAAAATGCACTGGAGTGATACTTTGTGAGACATTTTTTTTTGGGAGGTGTTAATTTAATCCCACTACTTGAGCTCTCTCTCCTGCTCAGTGGCTAGGCTATGTACGTGATATATGGGCTTGTGTCAGTGCTGGGTGGATATTACACTGCAACAAGTAGTTTTTAAACTGATGACTTCAGGAACCCTTCTTCCCCTGGAATTAACAGGTTATTGGTCTTCTAGGGCTTGCTTCTGAAAGTTGCAGAGTCCTTATCTTTAACAGGATCCAGGGCAATGGAAAATGAGGGTACTTGGTATTTTGCAGGATCAGGCCATTAGAGAAAGCTTTTCCACAAGACATTTAATTGTCTTTTCTTCTGTATTTGGCTAAATAGGAGTTGCAGTTAAGGTTGTTGTGATCGATTCGTTGTTTTCCTTCCATGTCCCACTCATTATAGTAATGCATCTAAAACATTCTGAAAATGAAAATTGTTTTTTTCTTAAGTAACAGGCAAATACAATCCATATGTTTTTGTAACATGTGCTGGTGTTGATAGCTAAGCAAGGTTTTGGATGATTGTCACAAACTGTTACCCCGTACCACTCTGTCTGAAAGCCAGCAGCTCTAGTCACTGAACAATATTGTTCTTTTTCAGCATGTCGTACCCAGGATATCCCCCTTCAGGCTACCCTGGTTTCCCTGGATATCCTGTAAGTATAGTTTGGTTTTTAAATGCCTTACCCTTTCAATATAGGCCACGCCCATGTGACAGGCTCCCTTGTCATACTACATGTTATAATGATATTGGTCACTGCTTCCATGCAAGATTACTCATTTTAGAGTTCTGGTCTGCGTTTTCACTTTCCCTGCTCCCCCTTCCTTTCTCCTGCCCCAGATCATTTTGGAAGTGTATGATAATATTTAGCAAAAAAAAAGTGTTTCCAGTAAACAGCAAAGCATATGACTTCAGTATGCAGTCAGGACATCGTAAGAGAGAATTCTTTTTTGTTTCCTAGCCTGAAAGAAACTTACTGTAGTTGTGGTGGTTTTTGTTTTTCTGACTTTCAGTTATTTATACCTTCATGTCATTCTTATGATTTTGTTTATTTTTCTGGGTAGTACTGTACCTCTTTTCTTGGGAGATGTTTGAATCTACATTTAGATCTAAGGTTTTATTTGGCTGCCACCTATATAAAATTTTGGGAATCTTCAGATTTGTGGTTATATAAGATGATCTCTAAATCAATATTTATCTTTGCAGTGTTTAGTTGGTTCAGATGTATCTAGTTTTGAGTCATGCCCATCTGTAATAGTCAACAGATCTGCAACCTTATTTTTTTTTTATATTATATATATAAAATGCCTAGGATATTTGAAAATTGAGCCACACAACAATAAATTGTACACAACAATAAATTGTCTTTGCTAACTTATTCTATAGCTTCAGCTAATTTGTCTGGACGTTGTCCATTTGGGTGTGTCACCACATCCTATTTGCAATTCATGTCTAAATGATTTAATATTCCTGTGAAACTGAACACAAAGTTGGGATATACCAGGTGTCGCTGGCTTTCCAGTGATTGCAATATGTACCTGCTTTGTTTGTTAGCAACCAAAACATGCATGCATTGTATTTGACCTCTGAGATACTGAGCACAGGTTTGTAGCCATTATGGTGTGTACATTCTATTTCAGTCTGTCACACAATACCAAGTATTAAAGGATGACTACCACCAATTCTGACTCTGGTAAAATATGTCAGAATGATGCATGTCTGCAGCGGCCCCTCTGATGCACAATTCTAGATAGTCATCCCCTAAATTACTCCTTTCCTATGCTAAAGATGCACATAAGGAAGTTGCTGATGAGATGGCATAGTACTGTAGCTTTGGATTGGAAAAGAACATTGAGTAAAGCCTGCAAATACTGTCAGTGGAAGAAGAAGGGTCCTATGACAGGGATTGTTAAGAGGAAGCATGTTCTCTGCTTATTTAAAACCACCTTCAGCAACTGTTTCTTTCTTGTTCCTTTATCCTTCTCTCAGTCTAGTGTGTGTGCATGATTTTTGCAAGGGAGGTGGCCAGTATCAACAGGCCTTTGGGGCAGCTTTTGGGGGATGGTACTCTACTCTGACGTGTGGCACTGAGACAGACACTCTTTCTAAAAAGTTGAGAGTCCTACTGGGAGTCCTTTCCTTGAACCAGCAAGCAGAAGCAGTAGCAGAACTCTTTCAGATCAAATCTCTGCCTGCTTGCAGCTCTAAAAAAACACCCCAAAACCATGCTTTGCTGGAAGAAGCAGCATGTTACTTCAACCCGTCTCTGCAGCGTCTGTAAAGACTGGGTGCTTCAGCAGGGCTTTTTGGCACTTTTAGCTAAATCTGATTTGATCTATTGGATAAAAGTGCCAAAAAAGCCCCACTAAATCACTAAATCCTGATCTTTACAGACATCAGCGTGGGGCTTGGTGTAGGAATGTGCCGAGTTTAAATTAAAGCACTGGAGTTTTTTTGTTGTGTGTTGTTTTTTTTTTTTTAATGTCAACAAGCAGCCTCTGTTTCACAAATAGAACCTAGGAGGTTCTACTTGGGTGTTAAGACTAATTTCAGGTATTACTTTTGCCATTGTGTTTTCTGCCTATTTGTGTCAGTTATACTTGATCATTTAAAGTAAATAAAAATTCTCTTCTGTGTGAGAGAATTTTACAGACAGGGGACTAGTGAAATTGACTACACCCAAATAGTCTAAAAAGAAAAAAAATACCTTTTCTCTGATCTTTCAGTTATAATGATGTCAGGCAATTGTTCACACAGTAGTAGACAACAAACTTTTGGATGCAAAAAAGGGGGGGTGTTTTATAGTTGAGTTTGTTTCTTCAAAATTAACAAGTTGGGAAATTCCTAGTGACCTGTCTATAGGATGTAAATGCTTTGAAATCAATAGCAAAAAGACAGGAAGAAGGTGCTTGGCATAACTATGTTAACTATAGGGGTTTTGCCTGGCTTTACCACTTGTTCTAAAAATAAGCACTATGGGTGAATCAATTTTAGATTATGCCACAAATGAAGTGCTGTCACATATGCTGATCAGTAAACTTGTCAATCCAGTCTTGAATTCATGCATCAGTAACTGTTATGCTGATATCAGTAATTATTTAACCCTCTTCTAAAATACAGTTCATGCCATTACAAGAAACAGATTAACACTGCTGCCTTGAGTGTTATGTGGTCTTTATTTATCAAAAGTTCCCAAACCTGTTGGTCCAGCAGAACAGGACAAAAAATAAGCATAGAAGACTGTGGATAGATAACCTCAGTTGGATATCTAAGCTACTTTGAGAACTATCAGGTAATAAGCACCATTCATATGCTGCATGCTCAAGTCTTGTGCACAAAAGAACAGCTACATTTATCATTTATAAAAAGCACTCTGCCAATATATTCTGAATAAGTTCCTAACAATTCTAATGGAACCTAATGTGTGGCTGGCTGTAATTAAGGTCTTCATGAGCATTGTCCATTTTAAAACCTTTGGTTTTTGTGAACAAAAACACTGACTTTTGTTCTGAAAGGCTAATTTCACAAAAACAAGCATGGTTTCATTATGTTAACTGAAAAAGCTTCATTTTTTAATGCTGCAGGTTGTCTATTGACTTACTGCTTTTGCTAAGTTTAAAAAATGATTTTAAAAATGAACTGTAGTGTATATATTAGGTGTTCAGGTCTTAGCAGGTGTTGATCCTACTGGCAAAAAAGCTAAAGGCTAGATGCAAAAAGGACTTAAGGTACATCTACATGGAACAGTGCAGTGCCATGTATATACCTGAGCTAGCTGGGAATAAGCTAGTTCTAGTATCAGAAGCAGTGTAGATATAGTTTTGGTGTTTCTGATATGCATGTTAGCTTGGGTACATCTGCACAGTATTGCATTGTGGCATATTAGATGTATTCCTCAGGTGCCTGAACCCTGGAGTAGAATCCAGAACACTATAGGGCAGGAGAGTTGAGCACTTCAGAACAGGCTTCAGAACAACCAGCACTGAGCTTGGAGCTGCCCAGCTCTGGGCCATAGCCACAGAATAGGTGATGCTAGAATCTTTAGGAAATGGAGAGGACAGGAGTGTTTCTCAAAACATGCTCCTCTCCAGACACCTCCCTCCATTCTGAGATTCTGCTTCCTCCATGACACTGAGGCATTCTTGGGCATATACAGAACCAAAACTTCAGATGCCTGGAAATCTTTAATGTTGAAGAACAGTGGGGTATTATGGTGGTTCAGTAGCTCTAGGGTTAAATGGCAGCTGAGTTTGGTTTTTAGAATCACAACTTTGGACTCAGGCAGATGTCAGGTGCACAAGTCCTGTTTTGAATCTCATCAACTGAAAGTATCCAATGGAGGCAAAGTAGAAATGAAGTGGTTATTTGGGGGAGGGTGGCAGAATCTGGGGTGTGAGCTTTGTAGGTACTTTGGGGAAGCCGATCCTGAAGAAGAGATCTGAATGGAACAGTGTAGCTCTGTTAACTTCCAGGTTAATGAAACCAAACCCCAGAAAGATATGAATTTGAACCATACATAATGCGTGGGCCGTGTTTGCAGAGTAGTTTGGGAGTACCTGCCTGCAAGCAAGTCACAGTGAGCCAAAACAATCCATTTGGTCAGGGATTGTTGTTTCGATAGCTTTCTGATGCTTTTGAGAGATTAGGCTTTCAAACCAGAGGAACTCCCCTCAGAGACTCTGGTCTTTCCAGTCCATTTTGAAAGTGGTTATTTCAAGCCTTTCATTGTTCTGATATTACATTGTTACAGGTCACACTTGCATCTTGGGAAGGAAAAGCTGTGATTGTCAGTTTTCTTGTTTAAAACCTGCTCAGAGTTAAAGGTGGTTTGTTGGGGCATATTTTTTTATGCCTCTGAATTTTTGTGATTTTAAGTTGGTCAGACCTTACTGGCAATCAGCTGGAGATATTTTTGGTAACTTGAAACAGATTTTAGATCCTCATTTGGTTCTCTAGCAGACAATATATGCTTTGTGTTTCTGTTCAGCCCACAGGACAAGAATCTGCTTATCCACCTGCTGGTCAGTATCCATATCCAGCTGTTCCTGGAGCCTTCCCACCCATGGGAGGCGGTGCATACCCTGGAGCACCACCAAGCAGTGGATTCCCAGGGGTAGCAGGATACCCAGCGCCAGGTGGATACCCTGCCCCTGGAGGCTATCCTGGAGCTCCACAACCTGGAGGGATGCCATCGTATCCTGGAGGTAATAGTCAAAAATATTCCTTACAGATTATTGCTTCTATAAGGCTGTATTTAGTTCAGAAGGTACAGAAAAGAAAAGGAAGCTTTGTTTACTGTTAGTGCAAGGGACTGGCATTCAGGAGAGCTGGGTATGCTGATAGAATGCAAAAGACTAAGGCTTCCTGTACCAGGTAGCCTAGGGCTCCTGTTACTTGAAGTAGAGAAGTGGCAGCAGATAGTACTTAGGCAGCTGAATACATGCCAGCTGCTGAGGAGATCAGCTGTCAGGCCCTAAGGAAAAACCCGTGAAAGTAGCTGGGGGGAAGCCACCTGACCAGTAAGGGGCAGGGCTTAAAGAGGCATTTAAGCCCTGGGCAATCAGACTGGCCTTGGAGGTTACTGGGGAAAGACTTCTGCAACAGACAGGATGGATGAGATGGAGGATAATGCCCGAGACCCTGCTATACCCAGGTGCTGGAAGCAAGTCTCTGTGTGCTGTCTCAGTGCACCCTGGTCACACCATTGAAGCTCTGTGCCCCTATTTCAGATGCGTGACAAACAGAACCAAGGAGGTGATACTTCCCCTCTATCAGGTACTGGTCAGACCGCAGTTGGAATACTGCATCCAGTTTTGGGCACCACACTTCAAGAGGGATGTGGATAAGCTGGAGAGGGTCCAAAAGGGTCACTCGTATGGTTAAGGGCTTGTAGGCCCAGCCCTACAAGGAGAGATTAGGGTACCTGGACCTCTTCAGCCTCCGCAAGAGAAGGTTGAGAGGCAACCTTGTGGCTGCCTATAAATTCATCATGGGGTCACAGAAAGGAATTGGTGAGGCTGTACTCACCAAGGTGCCCCTAGGGGTTACAAGAAATAATGGCTATGAGCTAGCAGAGAGCAGATTTAGACTGGACATTAGGAAGAACTTCTTCACAGTTGGGAGCCCATTCCAGATTTTGGCCACTCTAAGGGAGGTGTGCTCTCCCCTACCCTGGGGATCTTCAAGAGGAGGTTAGAGAGGCATCTGGCTGGGATCATCTGAACCCAGCACTCTTTCCTGCCCATGCAGGGGGTCAGACTCAATGATTTATTGAGGTCCCTTCCGACCTTAACATCTATGAATCTATGAAAGGGGTAAGGAAGTACAGTTGTGTGGTCCTGAGCTTGATTTAATGTATGTGAAATCTTGCGAGTTCCTGTTAAGGGCACTATATAAAGATTAGTTTTTCCAGCACTTTGCTAAAAAGGGAGCTATACAGTTGGTGTTTTGCATTCAGAAGTTTTGTAATGGCAAGGGCCTAAGCACTACCAATAGGCATTGTACACTCCTTTCTGCTGTACGTCATTAAAAAAAGCAATTCATTCTCTGGCAGTGGGCACTAATGTGTTGTTGTATTTCTTGTCCTTATGGCCTGTGCTGATATTTTCCCCTTCCTTGTTTCCTGCTCTTTGCCTCCATAGCCAACTTCTCCCCTGTCAATTTTTGCATAACCAAAGAATTCTGAGGAAAGTAAATACCCATCCTGTCTCATTGGTTTTGACTGTGGGTTGAGAGGTCAAGTTGTCAGCTTTTTAACTTGAATACATCTATTTAAAACAAACAAACAAAACCATTATTCCAAAGGGAAAAAACCACAAATTTGTTTCCTCATTATACTTCAGCTAAAAAAAAAAAAGAAATTCTAACCCCCATGGTGCACAAATTCTTTCTAGAGGTGGTTATATGAAAGGTAAGATGAAAGTAAGAGTCCAAGAGGGACAGACCATAATGTTAGACTAATTATGCTCCTCTTCCACTCATTCTTATTCTGAAACAGTGAGGTACAGTGTAGTGTCATCGTTCTGTGTATTGCTTCATTAGAGATTCTCTCAACGTTTTTTGGTGACATTTGTTTTTATTAGGAACCAGTTAATATTTAAGTGACCAGAAAATGTCCATCCTTGCCTTTTTCTTTCTGTCTAGTTCCTACAGGTCCTGGATTTGGTGTCCCTGCTGCTGGGTCTGGTTTTGGTGGCTATCCTCAACCACCAGCCCAAAGTTACGGAGGTGGTGGACCAGCACAGATACCAGGTATGTGGGTGTTTGGGCGGCTAAGTGGGGGAGAGGAAGTCTGTCTATCCTAGGCAGATTTTTTTTTTTTTTTTTTTAAATAGTGTCAAACCAACTCATTCCAAGTTAAAAGACTGACATTTTGTCCTTGGCTCCCTCTTTTGTACTTAGTCCAGCATACAAATTGCAGTAGTTATGTCACCTGCTAATTGGCAAGACCAATGGTAGACTGACCAAGAACCCATATGTAAATAAATCTTACTTACCTTGAAATTGAAAAGTATGCCCTTCCTGATGTATCACTATGCAGTGTTTTTGACACTTTTGCTTCTTGAAAATGGAGACTGCTGAACAGAACTGTGGAAACCAGAGTACAGTAGTGATCTGTGCTTATATGAAGAAGGTTCCATGTAGCACATAGATATATGCATTGTTCACAAATGGCAGTACATTTCTATGCCCACACTGAATTGAGAACCAGTTAGCAAGGAAAAACAGAAAGGAAGTGTGACAGTCTGTAAATGTAAAGGTCACATGCTGAATGCAAATAATGAATGTGTGCATAGGACATCATAAGGATTTTCAGCTTCCAGCCAGAACGAGTGTCCCTAAATTTGCTTGAGAGCGGCACTTAGAACAAAGAGCACATCTATGAAGGTCTGTTTTTCATAGCTCCTGTATAAAAAGTAAATGCATTGTTTTTTGAATTGTCAATGCTTTTGTATGTGAAATCAGATTATTTTAGTTCTACTTTTTGTTAATGAATTGTTAGTGCATTACTTTATGTATGTAAAACATTTCAAAGTGACTTGCTCTTCATAACCAGTAGTGGTAAATGTTTTTACTGTCAGACTAGAGCAGGGGTGTCAAAACACACAGTCTATGGAGTAGTGTCATCCAACATGCAGGGTCAGGAATTTGGCAGTCATGGCATTAATCCCCATGACTTCACAAGCTGACAGTGGGCTGTGAACCCTGCCCCAGATCCCACTCACCTTGCCAAAGACTTCAAGTGCATATCCCTTTTGGGGACTCGTTTTGCTGTGGCAGGGAAAGCAATGGTAGCATTGACCCCTGTGGCTCACTGAGCTGATGCAGTGACTTAGGCACCCATGAGGGTTAATGCCACCGCTGTTCATCGAACTGCCAGAGGTGCATCTAGATTGGGCCTCTGGAGGCCAAACAATTTTGCCCCTGGAATAGAGATTTCGTTTAGTGTATAGCTTCTGCCACAACTTTGGTCACGAGAGTAGGGTTGACAGAGGAGAGGTTCCGCAAGCATTACTCAACTTGCTTAGCACTCCTTGGTGTTGCCGTACTATCACATGGACCTGAGTCCTCCCATGGTGTGTTATCTGCTGTCAGTCACTCCCCAGGGTACTGTTGAGTTACAGGTTGCTGACTATCATAAACAACTTTTATATATGAAAAAAAGAGGTTTATGGATCTGCAAGGAGATATGAAAGAAGAGCATGTTACATTGGAACAGATTAGCTCAGTTTGGGTTATTTTTTTCCCTTATTCTTAAATTTTGCTTTAAAGGAGGATACCCCAGTGGACAAGTGCCTTCTCCAATGCCTAGTCAGGTATGTGCTATACTTTCTTTAGTGGAGCTTCTTAGTTTTTAGTATAATAGCCACTCTATCACAAAAAGAGTGTTTGGGGGGTAGCAATGTAAAACACAACGTTGTTTTATAACAGTATGGGGGCAACTAGAAGTATGATTATGGTTTAGCAACAATTCCGTAGGTGGACATTCAGTAACAAACATTCATGTATTGTGCAGCTGTCAGGGGAAGAACTGCTGTGAGATAATACTGTGCTATAGAGTCAAATACTCTAGATGAGTACCTGGTCTGGCCAGTTGTGCACAAATGCTACTGCTTTTCCAGCATGCACAATGCTGTTTTTGAATGCCATATGTTGGGTCTTTGCCTTGGATGTACAGATACAGTCACTGCATCTGGGACTAGGATCTGTTTTTTAATAGAATGCAAAGCAAAAACCCACTTATTTGAAATCACAGATATTCTCTAAAGTGTCACAGTCATGCCAGCAATTAAGTGTATAACTTGAAAAAATAAGTATGAAGTTTGGCATTTGTCTGCTGAGTCATGTAATCTGTCTTTCTGGTCTGGAGGAGTCAAACTGCAAGCCAAATCTTCACAGTAGCTGGCTCTTCCAGTAGTAGCAAACATTGTTTATTTACTGATCAATGACTTGCCTTCCAATCCAATATGGCATTTTTCCACCATATAGACACTCAAAACCTTTCTTATTGTTTTTCAATAATTTGTTTTCTGGTGTTTATTACTTATTTGAACCAAGGTCAACCCTGTCCTAAAGAACTTACAAAACAGGATGTGAGCACAAACTTGACAAATGAGGACAAAGGCACAACATTGCTTAATGGATGATCTTGTATTGTATTAAGTAACACTACAATATTTAGACAAGAGTAACAAAGTCTAAACAGTTAAGCAATTTTCTTATTTGGCTGTAAATTCTGCATCAAACTAATATATAAAGGAACCCCTGAACAACAGGAGCAAAAATGTTCAGATTAAGAACAGAAGAAGAAACTATACTAGTAATTTAGCTTAACTTTCAGCATACTAGTGTGACAGAGGGCCATCTCAGGGCCAGGTGCAATGCCAGCCTGCCAACCTGTCTAGCAGTCTGCCCTGCCTCACCTGCCACAAGTGGATGTAATGATACCAAATGTAACCATGCAGGAGGCTGCCCATTTTATAGCCAGATGCCCAAGGCATTATACATGGTTCTGAGCCTCCCCTTTACCGTGTCCCATGCCTCACAGATAGCATCCAAAATTTGCTATTGCTCACCTGGTCCCTTAACTGGGCCACACTCAACTTCTGGCATAACTTGGCCTCAGGTGTCCTCAGATATGCTTGGGCCTCACCTCCACCTCCAGCCCATGTGCAATCCTTCAGGCCCCCTAAGGCCCTACTCTACATGGCTGCCAGCCACTACTCCACCCCCTCACTGGGGCAATGGGGCGTTACACTGCAAAGACCTCAGGTGTCCGCAGTTGTGCCTGGACCCCGCTTTCAGCCTATGGCCCACTCGGACCTCAGGTGTCCGCTGACATGTGTAGTCCCTTCCCCAGGCCCCACTCAATGGGCCTGGGCCCCTGTGCTTTTCTGTCAGGGTGTGCTCCCCTAGCCTTTTGCCTCCACAGGGTACTTGCCCTTCACTGGGGAGGCACAGGTGTGGCATTTCAAGCAGGACCACTACACCATCTAATGCCAAGAGGATGTAGTTTTAGGTCAAGGGTTGTCAACCAGGAGTAAACATACCTCCACAGGTACTTAGAAAGGTCTTCAGGGGTACATGCTGCTGCCACGCCCTGGGGCAAGCTCAGTCTCCACCTGCATCTCCCAAAGCACGTTTGCTTCTTACCTGGGGAAGGGGAGGGGTGCGCCAGGTCCCACCAGCCCCACAGCAGCACCTCCCTGCCCCCCAACCCACTCACTTGATTGGCTGCCACTGCCCTCAGCCAATAGCTGGTGGTGGCAGCTGCCACGTGTGAGCTCTCCCCTCCTCCCCACCCCTTTCAGCCCCTACCTCCCAGCACCACCACTATGTGTACCCCCAGGAGAACATGGGGGTCACGTGCCTGCAGGTCAGAGCAGGCTGCAGCCAGGGCAGCACCAGGCTCTTCTCAGCAGGATCTGGGCTATGCTGTACTGGAGTGGGTGGCAGCGGTGCTGGAGAGGAGGTGGTGGGGCTACAGCAAATTTTGGAGTGGCTGCAGCCCCTCCCATAGCCCCCTCAGCACCACCTGCCGAGTACAGCCCAGCCCAGCACCCACCAGCAAGAGCCTGGCACAGCCCACCCAGTGCTCCCCTGGGGTGCATGTGGCTCAGGCCCAGGCTCTGCTGGGCTGTGCAGCACCTGCCGCCTCCCTCTCTTAGCCTCACTCCCGTAGGTCCTCATGGTAAGTGTCCTGCTTCTCATTCAGTTTCAGCTCCTATACCCCTTATTTTTTTTCTTGTTTTTAAGAGGGGACAAATTGAGGCCCCTGTAGAGCACGGGAGGGAGTGTGGCTGGGGCAGGTGCTGCACAGCTAGGACAGAGCATGGGATAGAGCAGTGAGTGGTTTGTCTTGGGGGCATGGGAAGGGACTGGGGGTGTCTCCCATTGCTACGCACACCCCAGGAGGGCATGCGCCCCCTGATCCACGTGGGGTGGGGCAGAGGCTGTGCAGCCAAGGCAGGGCATGGGACTGAGCCACATGCAGGGAGGTGCACATAGCAGCAGAAGCTGCCCCTCGGCACGCATCTGTCTTGCAGTCCGCCCTGCCCCGCAGGCACGTAGGGTATGCGTAGTGATGGGAGCCACCCCCTCCTCCCCCACCCGCTTGCAGTTCTGTCCCATGTCCTGCTGTGGCTATGTGGCACCTGCCCCAGCCCCACTCCTCCCATACTGCAGGGGCAGCCACAGCCTGCCCCACACCACACAGATCTGGGGGCACGTGCCCCCCCATAGCACCCTCCAGGTGTGCATAGCAGCAGAAGCCACCCCCCCCCACCCCAAGCTATGCAGCCCTTGCCCTAGGCCCACTCTC